TTTAAGACGACAGCGTATGAGAAGCCACTGGGTATCAACGGACTGTGTGATCTATAGTAATTTAAGGCCCATAGATTTGATGAAAGCCCAATCGATAAAGACGAAGCTTTGATTAAACGCTGAGTTTGAAAGAGGAAGGACAGGTGTCAATCAGTGAGAAAGTGATTTAGTGACATGGCACTCCCATGAGAGAATGAACTATACTTTATATATATAGATTCTAAAAGCATAAAATAAATGTATATATTAAATATTTTAATTGGCTACTGAACAGTCTATAAAAAAAATTAGTTAACCGTACCGATTCATTTACGAAAATTATGATTTTTATATACTATATGCTCAAATTTTCAAAATATAAATATATGTATTTTACAAAAAATAATTTCGCATGAAGACTAAACAGTACCTAACAAACAATGAGTTTACAAATCTATTCAAAAAATAAATAATATATAGTCTAAATTCCGCGCGTTGCGCGGACCGACCCTAGTTATCTATAATCATAATTACTCGATTCGATATATCACTTCCAAAACTTTAGTTACATATCAAACTGAACATCTTTAAATTGAAAGTTGAAATTTAAATTGGTTTGGTTTGGTTTAGTGCATATTTAATTTACCTATATCAAGTAGAATATCTTTGGTTTGGTTGACATAAAAATTGTTATCCATCTAAAGAGAAAAGAGATAACTAATAAGTTTTTACCACACAGCCAGCCACACAGGCTGATGAAACTGCACACTACTACTGATTCTAAAGCCCATCAGCCCTTCTCTCATTTGCTACTACTATATACCGCCGCTTCTACACAAACAACAACAACCTACACCGTTCAACAAATCCGCCGCTTATCGCCTCCGATCTTCTCCGAACACGCAAAAAAGGTAACGGTATCCATCTCCTTCACCTCCGATTCACGTTTCTTCTCCAGATTCGTTCATCGATTTAGGTTTTTAAGTAACCTCCCCTCTCTCTATTTGTTTGCTTCTCTTCAGTTACTCAATGGAACCATTCGTTATCAAGGAGAACACTCTCGCATCCGCTTCTTCTCCGCTCAAGAAGCGAAGGATCGATCACACTGACGCTAAATCACCTGCCGATGGTTCTTCGCCTAACCTCGCCTTTGAGTTCAACATCGGTGGTGGTGGTGGTGGTGACGAGACGCGGAGGATGAGCATGGATGCGGCGTTTGGTGGCAACGACTCCAACAATCACGAGATCGATGAAGATCTTCATAGTAGACAACTGGCTGTGTACGGACGCGAGACTATGAGGAGGCTTTTCGCTTCCAATGTTCTCATCTCTGGGATGCAAGGCCTCGGTGTCGAGATTGGTAACGCCTCCTTCATGCATGTCACTTATTTGTGCTTGTTTGTTTAAGAGTTTTCATGCTTGTGTTGCTTCCCTGTGCCTGTGTTTGTTTGTATATGGACGTTTCATCCACATTTTGAGAGTTGTTAAACGTATTTTCTTGATTCATTGCTTGATTTTGTTGTTATGAGTATTTGAAGTTGAGTCTGTGTAACTGGTAGCTTAGCTTGGTTCTCTGATGAGTTGGTTTATTGTTTGTTGTCTTGCTTTTTAATGTAGATTCACTATATTTGTAATGGTATTATCTGCATTTTTTTTCTTTATTTCCTTCTTTTTGATAGTTTTTTTTTCTTGTTTAGCCAAGAATATTATTCTAGCTGGTGTGAAGTCCGTGACGCTTCACGATGAAAATGTGGTTGAGCTATGGGACTTGTCTAGTAACTTTGTTTTCTCTGAGGAGGATGTTGGTAAGAATAGGGCACTTGCTTCTGTTCACAAGTTGCAAGAACTCAACAATGCCGTGGCTGTATCAACTTTGACTGGCAAGTTAACCAAAGAGCAGCTTTCTGGTTTCCAGGTATCCAAACCAGTCCTTTTATTTTTATTTTTTTACTTGTCAACTTTTTAATAATACTACCATTGATTCATGAATGTAATTTTCTCAATGGATACTGGCTAATTTATTTTCTTTGATGCAGGCCGTGGTGTTTGTGGATACCTCTTTTGAGAAAGCGACAGAGTTTGATGATTATTGTCATAGTCACCAACCTCCTATTGCATTCATCAAGGCTGACGTTAGGGGTCTGTTTGGGTCATTGTTTTGTGATTTCGGACCTCAGTTCACTGTTCTTGATGTTGATGGAAATGAACCGCACTCTGGCATCATCGCTTCTGTTAGCAATGAAAATCCTGCTTTTGTCTCATGTGTCGATGATGAGAGGCTGGAGTTTCAGGACGGAGATCTTGTAGTTTTCTCTGAAGTTGAGGGGATGGCGGAGTTAAATGATGGAAAGCCAAGGAAGATAAAAAATGTTAAGCCGTATTCATTTGTCCTTGAAGAAGATACCACTAGCTGTGGGACATATGTGAAGGGTGGGATTGTGACTCAGGTTAAACAACCAAAGGTGCTGAACTTTAAGCCCCTGAGAGAAGCAATTAAAGATCCAGGCGAATTTCTTCTTAGTGACTTTTCAAAGTTTGACCGGCCACCTCTTCTCCACTTAGCATTCCAGGCACTTGATAAGTTTTCGTCTCAAGAAGGCCGGTTTCCATTTGCTGGTTCAGAAGAAGATGCTCTAAAACTAGTGGAAATTGCAGTTGACATTAACGACAGTTTGGGTGATGCAAAGTTGGAAGATGTCAATTCTAAACTATTGCGGCATTTGGCTTTTGGATCCAGGGCTGTTCTGAATCCCATGGCTGCAATGTTTGGTGGCATTGTTGGACAGGAGGTCGTCAAGGCATGCTCTGGGAAATTCCATCCTATCTTTCAGGTAAAGTCTTATCTGTTAGAACTTTCAGGATGCACATCTGTTTAGTCTTTGTAATTTTTATGTAAAATTCCCACTTGTTGAGCAATGTTGTTCTTCTTCTATTTATATAGGCATCTAATCTACTCTACCTGGACTAAGAGTTTGATGTTTTCTTTTTTTTGCCTTTTTAGTAGTACTTCTTTTGTTGTTGGTAAAGTTTGTAATGAGTTTACATTGTTTGTGCAGTTCTTTTACTTTGATTCGTTGGAGTCACTCCCCAAGGAACCTCTTGATGCATCAGAGTTTAGACCACAACATAGCCGCTACGATGCACAGATCTCAGTATTTGGCTCTACTCTTCAGAAGAAACTCGAGAATGCCAAAGTTTTTGTTGTAGGGGCTGGTGCTCTTGGATGTGAGTTCTTAAAGAACTTGGCTTTGATGGGTGTGTCATGTGGTGATCAAGGGAAACTTACTGTCACCGATGACGATGTAATTGAGAAGAGCAACCTGAGTCGTCAGTTTCTTTTTCGAGATTGGAACATAGGCCAGGCAAAATCCACAGTTGCAGCAACTGCAGCAGCGGGAATAAATTCTCGTCTCAACATTGATGCTCTGCAAAATCGTGTTGGACCTGAGACCGAGAGTGTCTTTGACGACAGCTTCTGGGAGAATTTGACAGTTGTTGTCAATGCGCTGGACAACGTGACTGCAAGGCTTTATGTCGATTCAAGGTGTGTGTATTTCCAGAAGCCTCTCCTCGAATCAGGAACTCTAGGTGCAAAGTGCAATACACAAATGGTTATTCCTCATCTCACTGAGAACTATGGTGCCTCGAGAGACCCACCAGAGAAACAGGCTCCAATGTGCACAGTGCACTCATTTCCTCACAACATTGACCATTGCTTAACATGGGCTCGTTCTGAATTCGAGGGCTTGCTTGAGAAAACACCAGCTGAAGTCAACGCATACCTCTCAAAACCTGATGAATACATGAATGCAATGAGGACCGCTGGTGATGCTCAAGCTAGGGATACTTTGGGACGTGTTGTTGAATGCCTCGATAAAGACAAGTGCAATACCTTCCAGGATTGCATAACCTGGGCTCGTCTGAGGTATTCTCTGATGATGTGAACCCCTTAATAGAGACTGTACATAACTTGTTTCTTTTGTCTTAACATAAGTTCTTACTTACAGGTTTGAGGATTACTTCGTCAACCGTGTGAAGCAGTTGATTTTCACATTTCCTGAAGACGCTAACACTAGTACCGGAGCTCCATTCTGGTCTGCTCCAAAGAGATTCCCGCGTCCGCTCCAGTTCTCCTCAAGCGACCTGAGCCATATCAATTTTGTCATGGCTGCAGCCATCTTGCGTGCAGAGACATTCGGAATCCCTACTCCTGAGTCGGCTAAAACCCCAACCGGACTAGCAGAGGCAGTTGAAAGAGTGATAGTCCCCAACTTTGAGCCTAGGGAAGATGCAAAGATTGTGACAGATGAGAAGGCTACAACTCTGTCTACAGCTTCTGTCGACGATGCAGCAGTAATCGATGAACTAATCTCAAAACTAGAGCGGTGCAGGCTGAGCTTGCAGCCGCAGTTCAGGATGAAGCCAATCCAGTTTGAAAAGGTGAATCATAATTGTTTACCAAATTTTTCTGTGTTTGTTATTACAAGAGCAACTAACATTAAGCTGTTTATAGGACGACGATACAAACTACCACATGGATATGATCGCTGGACTAGCCAACATGAGAGCAAGGAACTACAGCGTTCCGGAGGTGGACAAGCTTAAAGCCAAGTTCATAGCCGGAAGAATCATACCAGCGATCGCAACATCAACAGCTATGGCTACAGGTTTTGTCTGCCTCGAGCTATACAAGGTTCTAGACGGAGCACACAAAATGGAAGACTACAGAAACACATTCGCTAACTTAGCGCTTCCGCTATTCTCCATCGCTGAGCCGGTTCCACCCAAAGTCGTAAAGCACCAAGACCAAAGCTGGACGGTTTGGGACCGATGGGTCATCAAAGGAAACCCAACACTAAGGGAGCTGCTGAAATGGCTACAAGAGAAGGGGCTAAACGCGTACAGCATATCGTGCGGTAGCTCGTTACTGTACAACAGTATGTTCCCAAGGCATAAAGAGAGGATGGAGAGGAGAGTGGTGGATCTTGCAAGAGAAGTGGCTAAGGTTGAGTTGCCTGCTTATAGACGTCACTTGGATGTTGTGGTGGCTTGTGAGGACGACAATGACAACGACGTTGATATCCCTCTCGTATCAGTCTACTACGCCTGATTAGAGTCTTTCTTCACTATACTACAAAAGACAGAAACATCTCAAATGATAGGTGAGTGGGTCGTGAGAAGTTCGGTTTGAAGGGTACTAGAGAAACAGAGTTTTGGTGTCTCGTTTGAAATAGTTTAAGGTTTTAAATCCGAATAGTTATTTGTAACATCAACAACAATGATTTCACAAAGCCTATTCTCATTTCATTGTTTGCATTTCGTCCACATGATAGTTAGGAATTGTCAATTTATACCGTTCAACCACTTAATTGACTGATGCCATGAGACCTGTTTATATGTTTGATTAAAACAGCAAAAAAAAAACACCTAACTGTATATATAATTAATTATATATGTAATGATGAAAATCACCAAAAGCCAGGTCAACTGAAAAGCTAGAAAAGAAGAAACTATTTATACAGTGGCAAATAAAGTGATTTAACAGTATTCTGCCAGGTGAATTTGCTCTACATGTCGATGTCGGCCACAGATGGTGGGGATCCAATGTCGATAGAGAATCTAATGCACGTTAACTCCTTATTCTGCGCATCAAGCATTTTCGTTTGCAGCGAGTATGAACCCTGGAAGATAGATGAAAAAAAGAGTAGAACGTGTCATCTATTAGAGTAGAACGTACCAGATTTTCCGACAGTAATATGCAACGTTCAGACACATTCAAACTATAGTCATGTTATGTCTCTATGTATTTGCTCAAAAACTAGGAAAAACTTACAGAAGGAGTATAGGCAGGAAGAACTTGAGAGTGTGCAACCAAGAAGTCTCCGGTATCTACAGGACAAGTAGTCTCGGTGCAAAGGTCATGCGTCTCAGAGTGAACATGCCATCCAAAGTACGAAACTTCAATCACCAGTTTCCCACCCGAGATCCCACGGCCTTTATAAGAACCACACACAAAATGAATCCAAATACTCATTGAGAAACTAATAAAAATCAAGATACAAGTGAAGTGAAGCAGCAACCTGTGTTGGCAGAGATGGTGAAGTTAGCTCGCTCGCCTCGAACTATAGGATAAGGCGATATATAAACCTCTTTCACTTTCACGTCATACTCTGCATTCTCCTCTACAACCAAACATAACATGACAAACTCAGAGCACATGAGTCTGAGAAGGAAGAGACAGACAAAGGGTCAAACATTACCACAGTATTGGACATCGGTGGCTCGAACAATCGTTGAAATAAAGAGGAGAAAAACGGCAACTCTCGACATGGTTGATGGAATCTAGGAAGCTATAAGGGTTTCAGGTGGTGGTGAAAGTGATCAAATAAAGAGTAGAGTAGAGCGCCGAATCTTATACACTCAAGACTCCAGTTATGTAAACGAGATCTGGACCGTTAATTCAGCTAGGTCAATTATTTCTGAATAGTTAGTTAAAACGGACGGCTAAATTTCGTTGAGAAAGTTATTTGGTGTGAACGATTGATTCCCCTAGATTATCCCTCATAACGAACTATTGGTTTAGATTTTTTTTTATTTACTTTTCTTTTGTTGAAAAGAATTGTGTAATATTACAATACTAGCCTCTAGGTGATTTTCCCGTGCATGCATGAGCACGGGCATAAATATTTAGAAAATAAATATTCAATAATAATTGATTGATATTTACTTAAATTTTAAATTAATTTATAGTTCTTATGTCTAATATATATTATAATATTATATTACTTTAATTATATATAAAATTAGATATGTTATATTTATTTAGTTTTATTGTTTTTACGGTCGATTTGATTTAGTTATCATTTGGATATATTGGATTCTATCTATTTCTATGAATTCAACTATAATCTTTTTTATTTTAAATATATTAAAATTTTGATTAATTGTCTTATTTGCATTTATGATTATTGTTATCTTAGAAATATAAGTATATTTAGTAAGATTATATATAACTTAAGATTTTTTGTGCTTAGAATGAAAAAATAAAAACTAAATTGTCTGATTCTAATTTACATACATAAGTAACTAATAAATTTTTAGAAGCTTATGAACACATATAAATATTTACAATAGATAAAATATTTTATAAATTCTAAATAAATTTATGCTTTAGATTGATTGGATGGTAAATTGAAATTTATTTTAAATCATTTTTAAAATAAGGATTATAATTTGCTTAAATATTTTGATTATAGTTATATTAAGTTTCACAAACATAAAAACAGAAAATTAAAAACCAAAAGATTTATTAAGAAAACAGATAATTGTAACTATTAAAGTATAATATATTGACCTCGTTAAATTATATAGTGTATGGTATTTTATAATAATTGTAGTTATTTTCTGTTTTTATGTTTGTGAAACTGAATATAACCATAATAAAAATACTTAAGCAAATCACAATTCTTATTTTAAAACAGATAATTTTAACTATTAAAATATAATATATCTACCTCGTTAAATTATATAGTGTTATGATATTTTAAATTGATTGTAGTTATTTGATCAAAAGATGTTTATTATTAAGTTTATTTTTAGCTTTATTTTTAATATCTCTTAAAATAGTCAGTAGAAAAAGTGATTGTTTAGGAGAAATTATATTATATAAGTAAAATATATATTTTTACTGTAATTGTTAGATAATATAGTCAAATAAATATAGTAAAAAATAATTTCAATAATACTAATTATAAAAAATGTCAATTAAACATATATCAGTTTATGTTATTTAATTATTTTCAAATAGATAGATATATACAAAATAATTATTTTGAAAATATATATATATATTTTATTGTTTAAAATTATTTTTTAAAGAAAAAATATTTCTTTTTCTATTATCAAGATTATTTGTGTGAGCTTTTTTTATGAAATCACATTATATACAAATATTTTTTTTATCTAAGAAGATATAGATATAAAGTATTTTATTACTTCAAAAGTATATTTTATGATATTTAAAAATATATTTAAATTAAATATTACTATTTTGTGAACTTTCCTTTTTTTATGAAACCATATTATATATACTTATATTTTCGCTTTTAAATAGTTTTGTAAACTTTATAAATGTTTCCTTTTTATTTTATATTGTTATTTGGAAATTTTTAAAAAGGAAATAATAATATTTAATTATATTTTTAATTCATTAGGGGTATCATAGTAACCAACCAGTGTGAGAGTTAACGTGAACGCGACACCTAAGAAAGTGACTTCTCAAATAATATTATAGAGATTAATTTTTAACATTATTCCTTATTTTATTAAGAAATATTCAGTCCATTCTACTAAGATAATTATTGGTTGTTTTCATACATAATAAAAGCACATCATTTCTATTTTTTAATAAAATTAACCTAGTCATAACTTAATAAATTAAAAACGAATTATCGTTATTAAATAACATTTCTTTATTAAAACATAATAGATCTGTCTGTGAAAACATTTTTTTCGAAAATATTTTAATAGATCGGATAGAGTACTATATACATAAAATCTACAACTAATAAATTTACATGTTTGATGGTTTACTTAGCTTTCCATATTCGTTTATCAGTTTGATTTTAGTTTGGTTCTTTTGATTCCAGAAGTTTAGGATCCAATTGGGTATTTAGAAATTTTGGTTTGGTTTCCGTTCAATTCTTTCAGTTTTGGTTTGGTTTATATAACAAAGTTGAGAACTGACTAATATCCGAGGTAATTTTAGATCCCATTTGATTCTGAATTTTTTTTAACTGTGGTTAAAAATCAGAAATTTAAGGGTTTTCGGATTAAATATCTGAGTTTTTTGGAGCTTCAGATGAAAATTTGAATAATTCAGATAATTTAAAATATTTTAGATAAAAAAGTATTCTAGTGATTGTTTTTCTTGGATTTATGTTTATAAATAATTTAAAACAATTTTGTTATTTTAAAACTAAATATAGTTATATTTATAAATGTATAAACTATATATACTATATAAATTCAAATATTTTTTCTCTCTCGATTCGGTTCTGGTTTGATTTTGGTTTTCCGATTTTAAAGATATAGGATTCACTCAAATCTTGTTAGGATGTTCAGTTCTTGGTAACAGATAAATGCATGTGTCTATGCCTAATTTTCCTTGTACCATTTTAAGCCAAAGATCTATATGTCTAACATGGTTTGGCACCAAGAAATAGAGGATTTGCCAACTTTGACGGTACATTGTATTTTCTTATCTTCTACTTAATTTACCTAATATGATTTTGTAAATAGAATTAAAATGGTATATGAATATTATTAACAGGTTAATAATATAATAATCTCAAACACGACTAGCATTACAAATAGTCTCAGGAATTGTTTGTATAAGGAACCAAATAACACCCGTGAAATTTACAGCTTGAAGATAATATACTCTATTAAATGTCAACAAGAATCAAAATATTTCAAAAACAAAAAAAGGACGAATGTCAATTATCTATCGCCCGGGGGGAAAAGGTAACACCGTCTACGAAAGGTGTCATGGCCGGAGACGGTAACGGAGACTTACGACACACGGGACACGTAGGATTAAGCTTGAGCCAAGGGTCAACGCACGTGTCGTGAAACAAATGATTACAATCGGGCAAAACCCTGATCATATCTGTCTTCTTGTAATCCGCAAGACATATAGAACAACACGACGTCGCAGTGGAATCCCTTCGCAAGCTATAACTCACACGAGCCTCTTCGTAAGGAAGCTTAGGAAAACTCTTGATGTCCTCATCGTCTAGTCCCACGACTTCGACCACCACGGTGTCGTTTTGATCATCGCCGTTGAAGTGAAACCGTTCTTCGCCAGGGAGTGAAGTTACAGTGACCTGTCTTTGCCTGCGTCTTGTCCTCGGAGCGGTCGTGGGAGAGGCGGAGATATGGGTTCTAGTGCAATAATAAGAAGCGAGGGTGATTGTGGTGATGAGGAGAAGTATACCAATGGAGACACCTAGCCCGTAAGCGAAGCCACCGATCCTGTCGGTGGCTGGTATCCAGGGGTTGGAGTCTGGCTCCACCTCTGTGGTATTCATAGCGGCCATTGGATTTTAATATTTTTTTGTGTGTTTCTTGAATGATGGGAATACGAGAAAATGAGTGGATGTTTGTTTTTGGTCATCACGTTGATGAAGTTGCGAGAGTCAACGTTTAGATATAAGCTGTGTCATATAGGTTTTTTGTTGGGTAGGGGTGGCCTTCACATATGATAACAAATACTAGTGGCGTTTAATAACTTTCACATATATATACAAATAGTTGGTTGAGGTTAATCATTAATCATTTGAAGTACGTTTGATGCCAGCGTTGCTTAACTGATGATTTTTCGTTTCTTATTTACAAATAGGGTTTACATAGAAGTTCAGGAAAAAAATTATATATAAGTTAAGTGAAGCAAAACCAATTATATTAATCAAGTGGCCTAGATGATATTTCAAGTCTAAGTAGATATTAATTTATTTTCTTATTTTAAAGAAAAAAATGATGAAAGAAATAATATAATAAAATTAATCGCTTTCATTTTCTTTCTTTCTACAACATGCGACTTTGCATATCTCTCATGTTTTCTAACACTTGATTCTATAATATTGCTCGTAATGATCGAGTTTATTTGACTTTTTCTTGTTACTGGCAAAAATAATTGGCTTAAGTGTAGATAATCCCTCGAATTAGTAGAAAGCTGGAGCCTGGAGTCGTGGGTTTTAGTACTCCATCTTAGTGTACGAATGTACGATGATGGATTCTTATTAAATTTGTCCCACAAGACTCATGTTCAGCCTCTAGAATAATTTCAAAGGGCTTTTGACCAAATATTGAGCCATGCCATGTTGAGTACTTGAATGAGATTGACGTATTTAATCGTCTTGTTGGCTGCTTATTAATTCTAATCACTTTTGATACACTGATGTTGGCAGAAAAGTGGCAATTAGTAGTGGTGTAGTTAAAATCCACTAGCTCAAGGGATATGGATAGCAAATCGTGATAGACTGCCGACGATGAACAACCAGAAGATATCGAAAACAGTTCAGTTTTCTTTTGTCTTTGTGGCTGCGATAAACCTGTTCTCGTTGGTTTACATCATTGACCCACTTTTTTCTTTTTTCTTTTTTCTTTTTGCCGAGGTGTCTCGGACTTAAAATCTTGCCAAGTAATTTTTTTTTTCATCAGTATGATATTTTATTTCAACAAAAATAAATTTATTAGGTGAGTTCTTTCGCAATGCACATAAATAAATTTTTAAGAAGTTATATAAAATAACAACCTGAATCTATTAATATTTTTGATTCACTGATTATTCAAACAATTATAAAGAATTGTTTTTTTTTGTTTGACTTATGATATTTCCTAACAAACTGATTTTTAATGTACTGTATCGTTTCTAAATTAAAAAAATTAACATTTTAAAATTTGATAATCACATATTTATGCTGATCTATGGATTTCAAAATATTTTTGAATATTAAACTTTCTAAAAAAATTGAATTTTAATAAAATGATTTTAATTTTGTATTTATTAAGATACACTTACATTTAATTTTGATGAAATATAAATATTCATATAAAACTGGCTAATTTTTATATTACTTTGATTTGGCAAATTTATACTTGAAATTTTATTATTTTAAAATTTAATATATATAATTTACATATAGATTATGTATCCAACTGTTATTATCTTATTTTAAGAAGCTTACAAGAAAATTAATTGTTAAGATTGTACATATCATAATAAAAAATGCCAGATCACATTTTAACCAAACCATATCATAGTTTTTTTTTTGTAAAAATAATTGTTGTGATGACATGTAAACAAAATTATTTCTCAAATAATATTTACGGATTTCAAAAGTTAAAGAAAAGTCCAAACTACTAATGTTCTTGGCTTTTCAACATAAATTTCATTTACCAATTTTTTGGTAAAATATTATTTATCATTCTGTCATACCATTACTAAAAGTCTTGTGTAATAAGTGTAGTCTTACCAGTACATATATATGTCTAAAATTTGCTTTGTTTTATAAAGAAACTAGATTTTGACCCGCATATTCGTGTGGATATTTTTTCATTTTATGAATGTAAAATTTTGATGTTATTATAAATATTTAAATATTTAATTTTTATTTTAGTGTTACATATCGTATAACACTCTTTTGTTTAAATAATATAGATATATTATTTTAGTGAATTATATATATAAAAGCATCTATCATATTAAATTAGTAAAATTTCTTGATATAGAATATTTTTGGATATTATGATATTAAGTTTTTTTTGTAATTAAATTAAGATTTCAAAATATAAAATTACTTTAATTTTTACAGCATTGGTTTGTTTTTACTGTAACATTTCAAGAACTTATTCTTTATTCTCTATGATTCTCTCTTTTGCAAAAAATCGAAATAGTATCATTCAAAACTTGATTATTTATTTTCAAAATTGTATACTTTTTCAAAAACAATTTGAAAAATTACAAAATTATTTTTGAGTAGGAAGATTATATTTTTTTGAATTTTTATTACTACAAAAATACATTAGTTTCTAAAAATAATTTTAATTTTTGGTAAGAGTTTCTATATACCCCCTCCGTATTTAAATGTAAGATGTTCTAGATTTTTATCTTGTATACAAAAGATTAATGTTTTAGGATACAATTATTGCATTTGTCTTTAAAATTTAACTTAAACTAAAAGATAAAATTATGAGTGGTTGAACTTTATTGATAAAACCAAAAAACAATAACTAAAAGAATTAATTACTTGCTTCTTAATATATGTGCAAAACCTTAAACATCATACTTTTAAATCCAGAGGGAGAATTTCTCAACAGATTTTTCTATAATTGATATTAATAATAAATTTATAATTAAAATTGGTTTAGTCATTAATATTTTAAATTAATTATTAAAATTTCATAGTTGTACAATAACATATTATTAAATATTATATGAACTAAAGGTTAGTTATAAACTATTTTTTTAAAATATTATAAAAAAATAGTTTTTTTTACGTTTCTAGCCCTCGCAAGTCGTCTGGGACAATTTTTCTTAAAAATAATTTAAAAATTGTGTAATAAATATTTTGATAAATGAAAAATTGGAATTATGTAATTAACATATGTCTTAAGAGATATAAATTAATATATAACAAAAGTCAGTTGTTTTCAGCATAGATGAGTGAAAGTAGTGAGTCATGATATTCTTTAGTTTAGGTTTCACCAACATATGTTGTAGTATTGTA